ATCTCAATAAAGTTAAAAAAAAAAAAAAAAGAACCAATAGTAAGTACACATGCCAGCCTCCTAATTCAATCATTCTGTCAGGATTCAATGAAGGAAAGAAAAGAGTCCATTTCTGCATATGCAGCTTCTCAAACATGTACCCATACACGCTCTACAAGCTCATTCCCTTCAGTGCACACATGTGCCACTCGTGCATAATGAAAATGCCATATGCAGATGCATTTGATTAGCACCGTCCACATTTCCCATCATTATGCAGCACTTTGTAAGCTGCAGTTAATTCCTGCCTATTATCCAAGTGCAAAATAATTCTGCCTAATTTCAAGTAGCCTGGCAGCTGCAGGGAAAAACAACCAGCCTTGCCTTCAGTGGAGACCCATTTGACATATAACCCCTGCTGCTACAAGGACTCGGATCATCTAGGGCTAATCAATTACTGTCAAGCATGCACTGTTAGTCTGGATGGCTGTTAAACAATGAGGACTTCCTTCTTCAGCTGTTAGCATGTACCTTGAAGCAGCCAGCATGAGAAGATGAAGTAAACGGCAGGTATCAGGACTGAGGTTTGGGGGAAGGGTGGAGGGCGGTGGGGAGATCAAAAGAGCAGACAAGTGCTTACACCAAGACATGGGATCCTTGAACCACCTGGCTTCCAGAGCTCACTGAGCTCCAGTGCTACCCACTGATTCTGAATTTGCTAGTTCTCCAAATAATCCCTTGACCTCTCTTCTCAGGAGGCATTTCCGGATTTTAAATAACTTCCATTGTGTTTTTCCTTTAACTATAAACAGAGATAAGAAAATACACTAATAGTACTTCATACAATAGTGTATTATCCTGTAAAATGCCATATTTATATTTATAAATGAAATATATATGATAAAGTATTCAGTCAAATTTTTAACTCTCATTACAAACAACTCAATTTTTCTTCTGTATTCAGTAATACTTTTGAAATATATTCCTTTCCTCTAGTAATAACAAAAGAGGGAAATCCTGTCTACTCCACACTGGAAAGACTGCCATTTTCTGGTAGTGGTTACAGAATTATCCCTTTAAATCCAAGAAAAGGTGAATCCCCTGTAGTGGAATCTTTAAAAATGTGTAGCTCCTAAACGTTTCCTCCCTTTTAAAAAAAGCACCAGCTCACGGAATCAAGAAATAATTTAGTACACTGGTATCCAATTAGGCCATCTCTCAGAGATACTTAGAGGAAGCTTTTTAAAAGTATGGATTCCAGGGCTCTACCAGTCCCTCCTGAATCAGAATCTCTGGAAATCTGTGTTTTGGTAATCACTTCCCCAAGTAATTCTACTGCACATGCACCCACCAGGAGAGCAGAAGGAATCAGAGTATCTGCATTTTGGAACCACTGGTCCATCTGTCCATCCATCTGTTGTCCAGGATACTTCAAGTGACACTTCTGTTTACAGTGCAACTCATTCCCATTATAAAATTTTTTAGTCTCAATGGGAGTCAGGCAGCAGGACACGAGCTAGCTATTTTAAGCAGAAAGGGATTTAATACAGGGAATTAGGTGCTTACAAGACAGCTAAAAAGTTCAAGGGTACAGGATCTATGCTGGGCCTCCAGGAAAGCCTCCCATAACCACAAGGAACCAGCCCATGAGAGACACTGGTGCTGCAGTCACATCGGAAAGGTGGGGGCATCTCAGGAGCCTTCGTGGAACTATTGAATCAGCCACGTACTGTCAGCTGTAATCTCAAGACCTGAAAGCTGCCTCTGCCACCACCGTTGGTCCTACTTCAGAAACCCACTAAGTCAAATAGTGGGAAGAAATCCTCATTTTTTGCTATGCTCCAGCGGTTGAACTTGAGTG